CTATCACACGTGTGATCCCACTTACATTTTATATTTTGATTCATTTATTATTTTTTCATAAACCACACTTGTATGTCTTTCAAATTCTTATTCACACCTTGGTCAAAATTTTTTTTTTCTTATTCACACTATTTTTTTTTAGGGGAATATTCACACTATTTTAAGCGGCTGTATATGGTATTAATTTATTTACGTGCTCGTAGTCGTATCTTATATTTTTGAATGTAAAAGATATAAATATTTATTGATAATTTATTTTTAAAAATATTAAAATAATTTAAAATAAATATAAAAATATATTAAAAATTAATGATTAAGAATATTATATATATTAATATTTTAACTTGTACATTTTACACGTTAAACAGTTATTATATATAACTATAATTTATAACAATTTATACATACATATGTAAAAAAATTTATATATACAAATAAATACTTGTTTAGATATATAAGTAATATTTAAAATATATAAATATATATTTTTAACTGTAAATTATATTTTAAAATTTAAAATAAATAATTTATATAGTGATATAAAATTATTTTTAATTATTAATAATTTATTTTATAATTCAATTTATAAATAAATATGATAACTAAAAAATTGAATTAAATAAAAAATTTAAAAAAAAACTTTTTAGTTCCTATAATTTTCAAAAATATTATTTTAATTTTTATATTCAAATTTTGTTAAGAAATCTTTTAAAATATTACTGCATAAGGTTTACTTACTAAAAATTACAAAATTAAAAAAAAATTAAATTTAAAGAACTAAAAATAAATTTATCTTGAAAGACCAAAAATATATTTAAAACTTATATTATATTATACTATTATTGCTTATTGTAAAAAAAATTATTCAAATAAATAAGTTTTACAAGATAATGAGTTTTTCTTATTTAAAAAAATGATTTAATTTTTTTTGTAAAAAAAAGTACATAAGACTTGTTTTTTTTTAAATATTTATTTAAAATAATTTAGATAAACACGTAAAATAAAACTGTTAATTTTATTAAAATTCATTTGTTAGGAAAAGAAAATAAACAAACATATAATCGTCTTATCTTTTGTCAGAATGTGAATGATTTAATTTATTTATTAATTATACATATACATCATTGTGGTGATTATGATCAATATTATTTTTTTTTGTGTAAAATGATCACATTGACATTAAAAATTAAAATTAATCTCAATTTAAGAAGTTAGCTAATTACCATATTGTAAAGTCTTATTCTTTTAAACGATTTTTCATTTACAAGGTTTATATATGAGATAACACTTTTATTAAGAGCTACAATTTCATTTGAACTAATAATTTACTAGTTACTCTTTTAATTTTATAATGACTGTAATTTTAGTATTTAAAAAATATTTGAAAATGAGATATGTTTTGCATTTTAGTGTCATATTAATTTTTTAATTTATTTTTAATAAATTATTTAACCATCATAATTTTTTTTTGGTAGAGTTATGATTGTTTTTGGTAGAGAACCATCATAATTTAAAATAAAAAATTTATTAAGTAAATAAATTGTTTTAATAATAAAATTATACTATAAAAAGTCATACATTTATTATTATTATTATAAATAGAAACCTTCTTAAACAAGTAAACAATAATCATTTTAGATGAGAGAGTAATTAAGAGATAATTTTAATATAACGAAATATTAATTAGTTAGATTCTTTTTTTTTTTTTTACAGTATTTAATAATTGTATTAAATTTAGTGATTTTAACTTTTCAGCTAAATTAATGCCATTGAAGTCATTTTATAATATTTTTTTTCGCTTATAAGTGATTATATCATTTAATTGAGTCTTTGAATGCATATATTATTTCATTAAAAAAATTGACCTCTCACGTGAAAAAACTACACTTTGAATAAAGTGTTATAATAATTATTAAATAAAAAATCAGCAATTAAAATCATAATTAATTTTAGATTTTATTTCGTAAAAAATTGATTTTATCACATTTCTTCATCGTTAATTTTTTAATTAACAATATACTTTATCTTTTAAATTATACTCTTATATTTTGGGAAAGTCAATTTATAAAAAAAATGTTATTTTTAATGTTGCACTTTCATTGTGATTTCACTTTTTTTTTTTTTTCTATATCCACTTTCATTGCACGATAATTCTTTGTCCATTCACATCCTTTCATTCTTTCCTTCTTAATTTCTATCAATGCTCCACCTTTACTCTTATAGTTACAGGTAAAAAAAAATAAAATATATATCTTCTTTTTATCTGGTAATGAGTTCTTTATTCTTCTGATTTCTTTAATGGGTTTTGGTGATTCTTAATTTCAGTGTTCTTTTAATCTTTGTAGTTCTTTCCTGTTTTTATATGGGTTGTTTAGTTAATTTACTAGTTTCAGTAATTTTATATCGAATGGGATGGGATTTTCTAAGTTTGATATCAGAATTTTGATTTTTTTTTGGAGGGTTTCCTTGATATTTGAAGGGTTATTTCATGATTTTAAAAACAATATAAAACAAGGGTGTGCTAAAGAAAGGATGATTATAGTTTAACTAAAATCAGAAGAAAAAACAAAGCTATACTCATACATTTTTGTTTTTTCACTTTTTTTTTCTGTTGAATATAATTTTAAATTGATATTCAAATATATATAACAAAAATATAGTAATATTTTTTTTTATCATAAGCCATATTTTTTTCTTATAAAATCAATCTATTCTAAGAGTAAAGTGATAATTTTGATTGTCACTCTACACAAATTAAATTATGACACCAGTGACAAATTACTTATATTAACGATTTTCAATAAATGTATAATGGTTTGACATTGTTACGTGAATTTTAATTCTTCAATGTTTTCACCCTTTGCTATTTTTCTATTATTCAAATTTTATTTTTTCCTGATTTTTATTTATATTTTCTTTTTTTCTTGGGTCAAATAATATTTTTTTATAAAATTAATAAATAATTATAAAAATATTTTATACGTTAATTTAAATTTATATAATAAAATATTATATATATATATATATATATATATATATATAAAATATA